CGCAACTTCTACTACTATCAAAGATAATTATAGCTCTTGCAACAGATAAGATACCCCCTAATATAGAGCAAGGGCCCGCGACGGCCAGGCCGTAGTTAAATAATAAAATCAAAAAGTTTCTCTGTGTATGTAAGAGCGATCCCGGGCTATGAAATTTGGCTAGCGGTGGCTTTAGCAGTTAACAGGTAGTAAAGATATGTAAAGTTGTGTCTTAAATATAGTGCAGTAAAAAGCTTAGTTTTCATATATTTTATTAGAAGTCGCCTCGTCCAAAGCAAGACAGTAGAATTGCAACCCGCTGCCCGACACCCTTAAAGTAGGGTTATTTTTAATTTTACATTAGTTATAGTAGAAAAGCTGAATTTTATATATTTTCTTTGGAGAACTAAAAAATCATGATTTGTCAGTAGCCAGACAGTTTCGACAGTTGCCCATATATATTCTGTTGTGAATATTTTTTTAGATTTATCAAGAAAGTTTATTTTTAAAATTAGATAAATTATTAGGAAAATTAAGTTTTCAAAAAAGCAAAATTTTACGCAAATAAATGTCTAAATCCACAATCCAGGAATATAATAAATTACATTTTGGGATTTTGTAAGATTCATTTAAATATTGAATTCAATAAAATTTTCGATATTTGTCAAAACATTTTTTTACTATAAGAAGGGAATAATTATTGTGACAGTAAAACATTTCAATGGAAAAGGAGTTTAATTATTATTATAGCCATTGTATACAAAGATTTAAAGAATCACTGACATAATATGGTATTTGGTCCCGGTAAAGCCATTTAAAATGGTATTGATCTTTTTCCAGTACCCAGCCATCATTTTCTGGTCCATAAAAATTTGGATTTAGGTGAGCTTTGTTCCAAATAGTACAAATATAATTTGCACAGAAAAAATGCTGCACTTTTACTGGATGGTATACTTCTAGCGCCAAAGTTTCGCAGCTTTTTTCCATTCAAAGCTTCATTCACAATAGAGACTGTATACGAATCTATGAACACAACTCTGTATAATATCTTGTCCATGTTCATCTTTATTTTTCAATTAATTAAGGCTTTATGGAATTCATTAGATTTTTCCAAGAGTTCGTAAGGTTTTAATTTTATTAATTATTAAACTCTTGTTAACAATTCCAGACCATTTACGACGCCGTGTTGGCTCTTCCAGGCGGCAACAGGACGGCCATCATCATATCGCCGATCGCCTGTGTCTTACTCACGCTCAACAACGAATATTTCAAGGTGAGTGAAACGCGCCGGCGTAAGTTCGAGTTACACTTTTCCAGTGTTTAGCCTTGGTTGGCGAAAAAGACGAAACTGCCGTTCCCTGTAGAACTGGTGGCGGTGGTCGTCGGCACGGCGGTGACTTATTTCGGCGATTTTCACCACACCAAGAACGTCAGCGTCGTGGGCTACATCCCTACTGGGTAAGACCCGTTTCTAAAGTCCTTTGGACGCTATTAAATGTGTGATTTAGTCTGCCGGAACCCACTTTGCCGGCGTTCGGCCTGATACCGGACATCTGGGTGGACTGCGTGGTCATCACCATGGTCTCCTATACCATCACCATGTCGATGGCCCTGATATTCGCGCGCAAGCTTATGTACGAGGTCGATTCCAATCAAGAGTTGCTCGCTTTGGTCGGTGTAGTCCCCCCCCCCCTCAAAACCACGTGATGAAGTTTTCATTTCAGGGTTTGAGCAACGCTGTGGGTTCGGTGTTCTCGTGTATGCCGGTGACGGCCTCGCTCTCCAGGTCTATGATCCAGCAGACGGTGGGCGGGGTCACGCAGTTCGCTTCCGTCGTATCCGCCGGTCTCTTGTTGATCGTCTTGCTATGGGTGGGGCCGGTGTTCGAGACTTTGCCTAGGGTAGGTATAGGTATGAAACGGGCCACTCCCCGTGTCGACATTGCTTTGTTAATGGCAAAATGCCCAGTGGGTTAAGAATAAAGATAGGTCAGATATAAACGAAATCAAATTAAATAAAGCCTAAGGAATCTCCAATGTGCACCATAAAGGGAGACCACCATAAAGCTCTTAATGTCGAAATGTTGTTGAAGTTTTGGCTCCTTCTCCTAATGAACACCATTATATATGGAGACATGCATCCAACGAGGGAAAACTTGATAAAATAAACCGAGAAAATGTAATGGCTTTACATTGGGAAAGGTTAAGATCTATGATATTTCTATTAGACAGCTCCCATTGAGGCAGGCATTCACAAACCATTCGCAAATATCGTTAAAAGGAGTGGGCCAAGATGTGACCCCCGAGGCCCCCAGATGTCACATGTGGAAAAGAAATTGGCAACCATGCATTTAAGGCTATTTACAAAATTTTTTATTCCTCCTGCCTTGGTTGTTGATGAGTGGAACTTGGAACTGGCTCGCTTTCTACTCTGAACCTGCTTATGTATTATTTCAGGGGCGGGGCTAAAGGGGGAGCATGAACCTTGTCTCGGATGAGTGGTTCCCATATTGGTGAAGGGTCGCGGTTAAGATTGTTTGGTTGCTTATAGATTTCTATAGATTTTCTAATTTTTCGTAGTCAAGAAAATTGCTAACATACAAAAATGTTTGTCTTATCGAATGAAATCTGGTGTCCAGTTTCGTGATTGTGTTCGGCAACAGCTAATGAGTTTATTTGTCGAAGTCTTATAGCTCTTTCATGTTCTTTGAGTCTAGATGACATTTTTCGTCCGGTCTCTCCAGTGTATTCTTTGCCACATATGGATTTTTGGGCAAGTTATAAGTCTGCGTTTGACGTTATATTTCTTAAGAACTTTTGATATGTGGTAAGTGACGTTTTTAATGTAAGGAAGCACATCAGTGGCAAGTATGGGGTTGGTTTCGGACTTATTGTCTTTGGAAGGTTGTGGCGAAGTGTTTTTTTGTGATGGGACGCTTAATATGTGGAAATTATTAGAGAGAAAAGCAGATGTAAGTTGTTTTAATTTTGGCTTCAGTGACTCGGACTGAGATAGTTTTATGACTCTGTAAACAAGAGAGTTGACAATGGATTAACAAAAGTATCATCAACGTAGCGTTTCCATAATTTTGGTTTAAGATGGAAGGTGTGGGTTTTTTTTTTCTCAAAGGCTTTCATAATTATATTCTTGATAACTGGCGATAATAGCTGTTTGATCGTTCAAAAATTTGTTCCAATCAAGTATTTTTCAATTAAGACATAACAGGAATCCAGAAGTTTTGCGAATAATACATGAAATTAAGGGTCCGCCAATTCCTAATAAATCAAGCTCGTACAATTACATTGTGCCCTGGAGGAATCAGTGTTAATCGTATCCACAAAAGTATCCAATGGGCAGTGAGGTTTAACTCCCTCACTGATCGACTTAGGTTCAATGGTCTCAGATAATCGCAAATTAACCCTTCAAATACTTCCGGAATTGAGTTCATATTAGGAAACTTGCTCAAAAATTAAAATCATTTACTAACAATTAAAATCGTAAGATATTATCAAAAGTATGTTCCCATAAAAAAATTTAGTGACAGTTAAATTAGCTGAGAAATAAATTTAAAATAAAAGTTTAAAGCCCAAAAAAAATCGTTAGTTTAATGTTAAATTAACTTTAAAGCTGTATAAACTCAACTTTATATCATTTAACTAAAGTTAATGTCGCAACTTCGCATATGGCAGTCTTATTAAAATTAAGTATATTAACTACTTAAATAGAGAAGGAACTCTATAAACACCATAGCTGCTATTGCAGTAGAACCGGAAGATACTGCTTCATCAACAATTGATTTTTTAACAGCTGCAGCTCTTGGAGGAATTTTAATTTCTTTTTCGTCTGGCTGGCAATTAAAAATATGAGGGCAAATATTTATTAAGTATAAATAGTGGGTACCTTGCTAATACTTTTATAAATTAGTTATTTATAGTGTACGCTTTACTGGTAAAGTTACAAGTTTACCTAATCCTAATTATTTACAATTAAGTGACAAATTAACTACCTTGACTCTCTTAGATTACAGCAAAACATTCGATGATACTCTTCATCTTCACAAGAATGCCTTTTTCTTATTGAATTCTATTTAAGTGACAGGCAGCGCATGGTTTACTTAAATCATCAAAGTTGTAAGTGTCAGAGATGACACTTACAACTTTGCGGTGTTTCCTAGGGTTCTCTTCTCGGGCCTGTTCTCTTTCCCTATATACGTCTCAGATAATATTATGTCATTGCTTTGCTCATTTAGATTCTGAGGCCACTCAGCTATATATCTCGTTTAAACCCGAAAATATCGCAGACGCTAATGATAAGATTAATTCTGATTTAAGAACTCTCAGACTAGAAATTTATACTTATAACATATTAACGACCCTTTACTGAAACCCATTGCAAAGGCAAGAAACCTAGTATTGGTATAGTATATCTTTATAAGAATATAAAACTCCGTTACTGCTTCCGTTATCTGCTTACTTCGAACGTTCGTTTTCATTATCAATTATTCAGCATTTTGTAAGTTGATGCTGGCTCCGCCGTCCTGCCTGTCACTTCTCTCTTTGCACCTTATCCTTCTTCTGTGCTTCTGTTTAACTATCGATTAAATAAGTTAATATTAATTCAGATTCTTTGGCTACTGTAATGGCTGCTTTTGGTTAGCGACCACCTGTTTGATCGTTTCTTGAATGCAGCATGTAGGGTAAGTTAGGAGAGTCTGCCTCAACTTCGTCTTTTGTAGTCCTCTTAATAAAGCCTTTTATTATTCCTTGTTACTTTCGAAAAATCGCACTAAACTGGAGATCTCGGTAACGGTAGGACCGCCATTGGTACAGAAATGATAAGCGTCGAAAAAATTTTTTTTTGTCAGTCCGTTCTCCGTTGTAAAAATGGCTGCGTTCAAGCTTCTCCATCCTTTTCTTTCGATTTTCTACTACTTTTTGGACGTTGCTATGAAACACGATAAGTGCGCGAACTTCGAGGCTATCGATTTCAAATTTGGCAGGCAAATAGCATTTGGTCCCTTAACGGAACCCATTGGAATTGGGGGGTTGGGGGGTCGGGAGGTTTTTCATTTCATTTCTCCAAAATCGTTAATGCAGCCAAAAAAATTCTTGAACGAGAACACGCACAAGATTTGTCTCCATAAATATTTATTCTTGAGAATTTTTCCAGAATGTACAGAGTAGGCCAAATATTCAAAAAAACTGAAAAATATTTGTCCTAAATTTGCAGACATCGACTTCAAATTTAGTAGAGAATTAAAAGTCCTTGCCCACATTTAAACAGTTTGGGGGCAATCAAATTTCACCAAGTATTTTTAAAAAAAAATTGAATTTTTTTGGTTGTTTTGAATTCCAGGAAAACATGTTTTTTCCTTAACCATTCACCCAGTCTGCAAAATTATTTAACCAGCAAACACGGAAAATACAGTGCCATAACATTTATTTCAGTCATTTTTTCGATTATATACAGGGTTTTCCAATTATAGACAAAAATTTAAAAAAACCTAGAAAATTGTACTTTTCCCGAGTAAATTATTAACCGCAAATTAAACATCGTAAAAAATATGGCTAATCGGTTCAAACATCGTTAATAGGCCGCATCAAGAGCTGCAATTTTTATTAGCGGTTTTCGTCCATCACACATGACACACGCTGCTCGAGATATTTGAAAATCACTACTCCGGGGGCTCAGTCAAGATGCGAAGACGTAATTGATTATTACGATGCACTGCATGGTTTCATAAAAAACTTATTTTCTCGAAAACCATTTCCTGTTTTGGAAAAATTCTTGGACCAGCAAACGTGGAAGATTCAGGGCCGGATTTTTTCAAATATGCACAGGGTGTGTCGCTTATGGGTAGAAAAAAAATGTAAAAGACCCTGAAAATTGCAGTTTTCGTGATTAAATTATTAGTCGTAAATGGAAAACCACAAAAAAATGGATAATTTGGTTTAAACAGTGTTGTAAACTTTATCGAGAGAGTTTCAGTTACTTGCAATTATATCATTGCAAATCTTTATTGCTTACGTATTTTTTATATCTATCAAAGTTTGTCGTGACTTTGAAATTCGGCGATACGCTGTAGACAGCGTGTATGCACAATATATTTTGCGAAAGTTCTATAGTGTTCTGCAGGAGCACTATAGAAAAACAATGCGTCGCTCTAGCACAAGAAACCGCGAAACGGCTTCCTCTTGAAATACAAAGCTGCTTCGCGCTACGCGCTACAAACTTGCCCCGTCCAGTGACGATTTTTCGAAAACAATTTTGTTATTATTATTTCCGACCTGCAGCTATTTGATTTGCCAAAATGGAGATTTGCAGTTAACTTTCTACAGTTTTAATGTGTGTGCGTTGCAGTGCGTGCTGGCGAGCATCATCGTGGTGGCCCTCAAGGGCATGCTGATGCAGTTCAAATCGGCGAGGCAGTACTGGCGGTTAAGCAAATGGGACGGCCTTGTCTGGGCCGTCACGTTCGGAGTGACCCTCTTCATCCAGATTAGCTACGGGCTGGCCGCGGGCGTAGCCATATCCTTCGTGAGCATCTTTTGTCAGGGCTACAAGCCCTACACCTGTTTGCTTGGCGCGGTGCCCAACACCGACCTCTACCTCGACATCAAACGTTACAAGGCGGCCCAAGAGATCGCCGGTCTCAAGATATTCCACTATTCGGGAGGACTCAGTTTCGCCTCGCGGGACTCCTTCAGGGACCTTTTCGTGCGCAAGGTCGGACTCGATCCTCAGGCGATACTGAGGAAACGCGCGAAGTTGATGGAAAGGGTAAGCAATATCGTTCCGGTTCTCCTTTTCTACCGACTGATTGGCCCGGGAGCGGTGCTTTCCTTTTATACAGAACTGCGCACCCTTGTAAAATCTTTGTTTATGGTTCGATTTTGATATATTTTTTTGAAGATCTCTGAAAAATGCGCTAAAACCTTGTTGCTTATTATCGACTTCAAATTACTCATACACATGGAGCTTGGTTCCCTGACGGAACCTATTGAAATTGGGGGGCGGGGGTCGACAAGTATTTGTCTTTTAAAAAATCGTGTTTGCGAGGGTCTCAGAAAAAGATTACTCCTCGAATCCAGTGCTATAAACTTTTGTTGTTAGTAATTTTCAAAAATATACAGGGTGTGCCCGGTATTCGCAAAAAACTGAAAATTGGTTTCTCCATATCCATAACCATAACTAGAAGGCTGTGTTTCTGTTGTCAGTTTTATTCTGTGCTATATTCGAAAATGTAATGTGTGTGTGTATCAAATTTGCTGCTATCGAATTCAAATTTAGCAGAGGACTCCATACTGACATCTAAACTCTAGAAACAATCAAATCTGAAAATGTAGAAATTTTTTTTTGGGTATTTTGGCTTCCAGAAAAAAAGTATTTTCTCGAAAACTATTAATACAATCTTCAGAATTCTTTAACCAGGACACGCATTTTTTCAATTATGGGCAAAAATCTAAAAGACCCTGAAAATTGTTCTTTTCCAAAGTCGATCATTAGCTGCAAATCAAAATTCCTAAAAAATATGACTAATTGGTTTAGAGGGTATTTTAGACCGCATCAAGAGCAACAATTTTTGTATTTACGGTTTTCGTCTATGCGCATGTGCTGTTCGAGATATACAGGGTGTTAAAAAGTACGCTGGCAAACTTTAAGAAACGTTTCCTTGCGTGATTTTAAGACGAAAAATTCATATAAACATAGAAATTCATATTTTTCAAGATACAGAGTGTTAAAATTTTATAAAAAAAAATTGTATTTTCTTTTAATTATTGAAAGGTGGTTTATGACACAAAAGCTTTATTTTTATTTTTATCAGTGGCGTCCGTACGGGGTTTGAACTGAATATTTTTAAAGAAAAAAAAATGGCACGTCGCTGCTGTTTCTGAAAACAAATTATTTTTCAAATCCTCATTCAATTTGGAGCAAATTGATTCACGCGGTCCTTTTTAGCTTTTTTTTTATTTACTAAAACTTGCCACTACATCATCATTTTTAAATGTAATTTTTTTGAAATAAACTAGCAATTTAATAGGAAAATTTAAGAAACAAACTGCATTTTAATCGATTTACTAGTCAAAAAAACTTAAAGTGGCGAATTGGGCTTTGCTAAGCGCCAGTAATTCATTCATTTATAACAATAACATGACAGTTGTCAAATTTTTAAATAAAATTAAACTTGGTTACTACAAATCACTACTGGTTTTTGAAAGTTTATTTAAAAATTATTTGTTTGAAATGGCAGATATGCATTTCGTGTATGGAATGGCTCATGGTAATGCTCGCGCCGCAAGACGGATGTATCAAGAAAGATATCCTAACCGTCCGCTACCTAACAGACAGACGGCGAGACGTGAAAGACACTTTATACAGGGTGCATGCATAACAAAATTAAGGCTAAACATTTTTAAATTACACACTTTGTAGGCTGCGTAGCGCATAGTACGGAGAAGACGCTTCGCACAGCTACGAGATTTTGAAAACAATCTTGTTTTGCTTATTGCTTCAACTTAAAGTCATGGCTAACTGGAACTATTTAGCAATGGAGAGAGAAGTACTATTAGGGATTAAAAAACAAAAAATCAATTTCGCAACAAATTCTTATTCAGGGGTATTTAGGACCCAACTATACCGATTTCTACAGGGTGTTTGAAATATCGTATGCGCGCCGCCGAGGTTGTATATCGTCGTAAATTCTTTGATTTTAATAATTTTTTCTTTGTTGGATGGGTCTCTCAAAAACGCACTAAAATCTTGTGTTTCGTATTACATCGACCTGAAGTGATGGGCAACTGGGACTTACTTTTGATTCATGACTATATAAAACCTAACTATACAAGTGTAGATAATCCTTTTTTTGTTGGATAGATTTTACCAAAACACACTAACGATTTTCTAAAAATTAGATATGATTAGAGAGGATTAGATATGAACTAAACAGACTTTCAGCGCCGTAGTTTTTAAATTAAAAATGATTTTTAATTCTCATCTGATATTGAAAATAATAGAAATATCAAAATTGATTGACGTCTGCATATTGTTGCCTTTGTAAATCCAAGTTTCCACAGTCCTTTAATCTGCTGGCCCCCGCGATCTCCAGATATCACGCCTGTAGATTTTTTTCTGTGGGTGTTATCACGTCCGCAAACAAAAGAAAATTTGTGCATTCGTCGTAGCATTACGAGACAAGAGCTAAGAAAAGTAGTAGCCAACAATCAAAAGCGCATAGAGAGAAATGGTGACCTAATTGAAAAAACTATTATTTAATTTCCATTTGTACATGTTACCTTTAAGTTTCAACTAAGAAATTTTTCTCGATTTGAATGAATAAAAAACACACTTTTTCGAATTTCATTATTCTTTGCTTAGTCGTTTAAGAGAATTATTTTTGGCTAGTATCTGCATTATAACTTTCGAATACTATAATGCTGTTTTAAAATGATACTAAAAATATATGTCCCTTAAAAAATGTTTGAAGTCTTTTTATCATGACTGAATGATTTTTTTAAAAAATATAGTTAAAATAGGTTCTTAAAATCATATACAAAATAATCGTTATGTACAAAGGTTAAAATATCTATTTTTTAAAAACATTAAAAACTTTTATCATTTGTCTAGTTACTTTTAGGTAGTCCTGAATACGTATCTGTTGTCATTTTCAATTTGATAAAATCTCTAAAAGTATTTCTCGATTTTCCGCTTGAAAAAGCTGTGGGTAAGCCATAACTTTAGTCGATGCTATATGAAAAAAAAACCGTTTCAGTTGCTTCTAGTAAGAGAATTATCGAAATTGGGCCATAAACAAACATTCTACAGGAGTAATGCTTACGCGTTTTTTGTAGTCTTAAATAAGAATTCGTTGGTACGTTTTTGTGAAACGAAAGATGACGTTAAGAAAATTTTCATGACTTAATTAGTTTTTAAAATACAGGGTGAGTTTGGAAATTTTTAGTTTTGAGGCACCCCTCGCGTCTTGGGTATCCTATGAAATGTCGGAAAGGTGGAAAGCACATCCGATATATATTTTTATGTAGAATTCAGTGGCATAGTCAGTGTATCTAAATGTTTTTTTTATGGAACACCTTATATCTTATAGGCAAATTTGACTCCGCTTGATATGAGCTTCTTAAAAATGTATCACAGTATGAGGTTAGGTTTTAGTGCATTTTTCGGAAATCTATGCCACAAGAAAATTATCTAAATCGAACAATAAACGAAGATTTTACCAACTTTAAAACGCGATTGAGGTAGAACATTCGAAATGGACGATTCTTACTTAGCGTCTGTCTACTTTACTGGTATACTATTTTCGACACCTGTAGCTCAATTATCTTTAAAAATAGAAAGGTGCGGTTTCGGTATAGAGGGCGTTTTTCGAAATAGCGCGAAATAAGGAAGGAAGGAAATGTTCTCGCTCTCTCAAAAATTCTCTTTTTATTGAAAATAATGAGGAGTTTCTTGAAAATTATATATATCGGGCGTCCCACAATCAACACTCCAGGTCTTAATTTTTTTTATTTTTAAAGATAAATATAGTTTTTTATTAACTGGGTTTGCAGAATCACGGACAACATTTTGACCAATTTTTGTAATTTATTTATTCTTTTTATGATATGTAGCCAGCTTATGAAAAATGTTCAGAATTTTGTCATTAATTGTACATTCATAATTTTATCTTAGTTTTTTGAACAAAGTATATAATAAAGTTTTACCAAATCCCGTTTTTGTTCATTGGTAAAGCCAATTTTTAACGACACAGTAATGCACTAGATATTAAAATGTTACTTAAAATATTACTATGGTATAAGAGTTTTTGTTCAATATTTCGAATTTGAGAGAACACAACAACTTATGATACATCAATTCAACACTGCAAAAATAAAGTTGATGAGAAAAACGAAATGTCGGAAGGGATTTTTGAAGACTAAAATGGTACAATGAGATAGATTTTAAATTATGACATAAAACAATAAAAACGAAAACCGAAAGTTCCAGATTTTCCGCCATATTTCCAGCGATGCGCAATTTTGCCCTAATCTAATTCACCCTGTATCTCTTTTCGTTATCGAGATCCTAATTGTGAGAGTAAAATTTGAAAAAAAGTTATTTGTTTACTTGAAATTTAATATTTTCAATAATTCAGTAATAGGTAAACCATTTTGAGAAAAGAAATCTTTGATTAAATAGAACAGGAAAATATAAGATATTTTATATATTATTCTTGAAAAAAAAAGGTATTCTTGTTTTCCTTGATTTAAGAAGTCTTAACCTAATATGGAAATATCATACGCAGTGACTACAAAAATGTCACTAAATGGACCAGATTTTCAAGTGTCGAAAAAAATTCTCCAAATGGAAATAACGTTTTTATTTTTAAACATTTTTTTCCAACTTATTTGCACACCCAAAACGTTCCACCAGGGTATGTCGGATGACCACGTCTTCGACGACTTGGTCGAGAGGGGGGTGGTGCTAGATTTTTCGGCGTTGACCTTCTTGGACCCCTCGGGGGTGGAATTTCTGCGTCAGTTGCAGACCGACCTGGCCAAACTGGGAATCACTCTGTACATTGCGGGCTGTTCCGGTAAGGACGGATCCAGGATCCGTGATTTATCAAGGGTCGCCATTTTTTTTTCGCTTCGCAGGTCCTGTTTACGAGGTTATGATAAACTGTGATAAGTGGGAGAGAAAGGAGAGCAAATTTGCCATTTTTCCCACCGTCCATGACGCGGTGCTCTACGCTCAAACGAACCTTCTGAGCGACAAGGACGTTTAGGTGACGTCACTTCCGAGAAATCGCCTACTTAAGAAAATAGTCACGTAGACCAATTATTTTTCTACCGCAGTATTAAAAAAACTGTTTTTGTTTAACGACTTGTTTCATTCATTTCCTGAATCATGACGTCGTGTCGCAGAGTGCATTGAAGTATGGTGCAGTTAGAGTTAGAGCAATTGTGCAGTTGCGTGATATCATGACATCTCTATCCAGTTCATTACTGTCTTAAATTGACACAGCAATTTTGTTTGTCAGTCTTGAAATCAGTGCCAAAAAAAGAAAAAGCTCATTCATTTTAATAATTTCTTTTTCTTCCTGATAAAAGAACATGTAACGGTAGAATCGCTACATAAAAATTTACACCAAATTGATGGGATTGATGGTTCACAGGGTTCATTAATTTATGGAAGAAAAAGGTTGAAATCTTGTTGGAAATAATGTAGTATTTAAAGCTGGTGGAACAACCATGAATTGTTCATAAGCGACTGACATTTTTGAGGGAATACACGAAAAACCAGAATGATGCACTTTCATTCAATCCAGTATTCTTGGACGAGACTTGGATATTTAGTAAAAGAGCGTCTAGAAAAAGCGGACAAGACGATTCTCTACAATATAATTTTACATGCTGTCTCTAAGAATGGCTTTGTGTGGTATACCAGTCTTAATTTTAAGTCGGGCTGGAAATGGCAGGACTAACATGGTTCAATGACCACAAAATTTGTTGAAAGGTAATTTATATTTCTTTTTTATGGGAATAATAGACTTATTATAACCTATGAACATAATTAAAGATTTCTGGTTTTGTACCCATGGAAATTTGCTCATATACTTTGGGAAAAAACTAATTGCTGTTGACAAAATAATTACTTGTCTAATGGTGAAGAGCATTTAATGTAATGAACTATTAATTTTTTACGTTAACCTAGTTTTTTCAAATAGCACCCTAGTGGGAACAAACACCTTTTAAAACCGATTTTTTTTTGCAATATTTTGACACCAAAATTTTCAAATTCCGTTAAAAAATAAGCTCACAGGAAGGAAAAACCAAGATAAGTATAAAAACAAAATATTAGTTGGCTATCTATTCATTATTAATTGTCAAGTCGGTAAGATGCAGAAGAAACTTTCGACAAGCTCATGCAGTGGAAAGAAAAAACAGATTAGTATTTAAAAAAAAATAGAAAGTTCCTTCTGAGATTCAACTATTAGAATTTTTTATTGAAAGTGGTTTATTATAATAAAAAGTTTATATGGTTTTGGAATGCGGGGGTACAGTCAAAAACTATCTTAAATATCGTACGTCATAAGCTACAAGCACTTTTTACCGGAAACAATGTCGGTAGAATCGATTTGAAAGTGGTATATCAATGTGAGTTACTGTAAGACAAGACCCTTGACTACATATTGTCAAAAAAATTGGACATTCAGAGTGTTCCCACCTTCTTATGTCACCCGGTATGTATTTTTCTTTGAATATGACGACTGACCCATAACGATTGACGAAGGACGAATGACTAATGACCAATGACCAATGACAAATGACGAATAACTAATGACTAACGACGCATGATGAATGAACAAGGACGAATGACCAATGGCGAATGACGAATGACCAATGATCAATGATTAATGACGAATGACCAATGATCAATGATTAATGACGAATGACCAATGATCAATGACGTGCAACGAAAGAGCAATGACGAATGACCAATGACCAATGACGTGCAACGAAAGAGCAATGACGAATGACCAGTGACCAATGACCAGTGATGCATGAGGGATCACTAATGACGAATGATCAATAACGAATGACCAATATCGAATGACGAATGACCTATGAGTAATGTCGAATGACGAATGACCATTGACAAATGACCAACGACCAATGGCGAATTGGCAATGACGAATGACCAATGACGCATGGCGAATGACGAACGATAAAAACGAAAAACGATAAAATTTTCTCCATCATTGAAAATTACTTCTTTCCATTTTACAGAAATAATATTGTTTGGAATCACACGTTTTTTCCAAATTGAGTTTATTTCCATTTATTGCGACAATATCAGGGTCATTAAGGTACATTCTACCCGATATTCTTTCTGTAATTTGTTAAGTGGTTTGTGTGTGTAGTGCTATACTTTTTCTTCAACAGAATCTTAGGATAGAAAAAAAATAAAAAACCAGTTTTTAGTATATTTGCTGTAAGGGAATCAATTGCGAAAAAAGCATAGATCATTTAAACCATAAACAAATTGCGATACTCAATTTGATTAAATCTCTGTTTTAAAATAATATCGGTGGCCGTAAAGTCGATCATCCATAAACAATAAAGTTTGCTGAATACCAACAAAACAGGGCATTTGCATCTTCAAGAGCTACAAGTGTCGCTCAAAGTGGTCGAAGTGTTCAGGTATTTGCCATCATATTTACATGCAATAGTTTCTTTCAAAAGAAAACAATCTGAATCCGTGTCGTCCCTCTCCAAAGATGAAGGATACTCTCTTAAACTATTTTAATATCAAACTGCCTTATGCCAACCACTTCTGCGCTTAAAGGAAAATTTCAGTACATGGCAATGACAAAGATTAGCGCTTCGATCCAGTATGACGACCGGAGGGAAATAGAGCCAATTGTTCTATTTAAAACTAATCCTAAGATTAGCTAATTTTTGTTAACCAATTATTATTAACTAATAGCTTACAAATCTTATATAATGATTATAAACGAAATTAAAATTCTATGACAATTTTCGTTTTTAAACTATTGAAAAATATAGCTCGTATGACTGGATAAACTTTACCTTTCAGCCAATCTTATTTAGTACGGAACCTAACCTTACCTACTAACCCTTGTCATCATCGGTCATAACATAAGTTTGTAACGTTTGTAACATTGAGCTACATCCGTTTATTTACGATGTAGTGCAATTATTGTCATCTTATCTGATTTTCACTATAAGCAATTAGTTGCTTATTCTAGATATCCAACGGCTTACAAATGAAATTCAATATGGCCTCCCAGGGCAAACAAACAAAGTAAATAAAGTGACTTTATAAGCAAAACTGTTTGTTTTTTAGTTGAATGTGTTTAGGTGTTTTCTAAACTATAAAAGCTTATTAATTGTTTTCAAGTGTATTTGCTTTGCTTGCGTGCTTTTCTTAGCTCTTGCTAGGTATTGTGTATTCTATAAAATAATGAAAATATTAAAAAGGTTGAGCTTGATATCGTGCGATTTTTTTTAGGACAAATTGAATTCGATGAAGGTATCAGTACATGTTTTAACGGACTTATAGATGGATGAGTTGGTTTTCCACTTTAAAGATTTGGCATATCATTTAAAAAAATGTGTTTTTAAAATACCTATTTTAGTTAACAAATGTGTGAGCTCGAAGGACCGAATTTTGTTATATAAAACAAAAGTAATATTATAATGATGAAATAAAAAACAAACCTATAGGAACAGATGAATTCCTTAGAGTAAAAGCTATAATTAAAAAATAATAAAATAAACTCCATTAATTGAATAGTTTAAACTATCCATATAAAAAATGGATCTAAACCACTTACTAATTGTAGTTTCATTTGATATTTACAAAAAAGAAACATTTCATAAAGTAAACAACACGAAATATTTTATAGTTCTCGGGATAGGGATTTTCTCGTAATAATTGCTTTTGATAACGACTCTCCATCTGAAAATAACTAATACATAAAAAAGTCGATTGGAACACCTCAAAACTCATGCCATAAATGATTTTCTACCTAACCTTCTTTCTTTGCCCTCGACGCCCATATTTGATCACGTGATTTGGATTGCCCAATTAGAAAGCCCAACATCGGATAGCGGTCAAACATGTTGTTATTGGTGTTCGACGCGAGGTTCCACAACCAATATGGCCGCTGACAGTTCGATATGACATCAAAATATCTCGGTGGAGGGGGAAATGCGAAACAAAATGCAAGTCAGCGTGCGAAAAGTGGCTTTTATTTTAGTTCTGCCCATAAGCATCCGGTTAAATCGACGATCGGCATCAGCGTTATTCGGGAGCGGTTCTCCATATCACCGTGTAAAAGGAATACGACATTTTTAGAATCTAAAACGGCAACTGTTAACAGAGATTCGCACTAGCTCGACCCCGGATTACCGTGATGTACATGCCCATAGTGACGAAAGTCCACTTGCCGAGAGTGAAATAAAAGGGAAATTGCAGCCTTGCTGAACAAAACAGCAGTTTTTTCCTCAAAGGTACGGGATAACTAAGCCAGTCCATTTCGTAGATGCGTGCGGGCAGGTTCAGCAGTTCCAGCGTGAAGCCGTAGCAGTACCAGCAAGTGTTAAACACCTCCGCCATGACTACGAAGATCATGGTGGAAAGAAAGATTGATTCCGCTTCGAGGTCGACCTTGATCATCGACGACGTTACTCGGAAACTGTTGGCGCACATAATGAACACGGCGAGGCCGTTTTGAATTAAGAATTGGGTCGACTGCAGGTCTTCGATTCGACGAGCTGCCCTAAAATTTGAATTTTCCAGGAATTCTTGAAAACATATTTTTAACACAATAATATTAATTTCTCTATAAATATAAACAAGAAATAACCTACAAGGTGAAGTGTCGGTGCATTTGTATGGTTTTAATTCATATTTAAAATCGGGGTAAACAAAAATCAAAATCTCTTTTCTACTTCTAATAATTCGATACCATCCTAATTCAGATATTTCCTTATTTATTTTAACGTCCTTTCGAAGCACCTAAGTTCAAAAACTACCAAGGTTTAGAAAGAAATTCTTATATCTCCACAACAAAGTTTCTCATTGTGTCATTATTTCAGGTTTTTGAAAGAAAATTCCTCCTTCTCACAAGAAAATTGATATTTTTATGGCAATGTCTCATGTTAAATGTAAAAATATTAACGAATTAAAAATTTGAACAGCAAGGTGATTTTCAATATTTTCATTTGAAGAATTACGGCTTTTCTGTACCAAAAGGGCTTTTGTATCATTATTTGCGATTGAAGTCTAGCAGCAATTGACTTTGAGGTCATGTCGTCGCGCTGAATTTTATTTACCGGTTTTTAATAATTTTATGTATTTAATGTTTTGTTTTCATGTTTTAACTAAAAGACCTAGATTGACAAACGATTTCAGTTTTGGCCTATCCTATATTGTACTGTTTGTACACAGAAAATTGAAAGTGAACAGCTTATAAAACATAGATTACGCTGCCTTAGAGGCATATAATAAAACAAACAAAACCCAAATAAAAAAAATAGAGCAGAATACACATGCCAAGACATATGCCAAAATATTGGAGGCACAATCAAGTTAAAAAGACAAAAAGACTCCTTGAATACTTGACTTACTTAAATAAGGAAATAAAGGAAGGAAAATGAAGTAAGTACCCATTATAATAACAATTATACTATATACCATGGGTGGGCAAAAGCCGGCCCGCGGGCCGGATCCGGCCCTTTTGCTAATTTTATCCGGCCCGTTGAAAAATTCCGCACCCAAATTTTTTTAAACTCTTTTATGAGGTTTTGTTGACATCAACATTATTAGTGTGCGTACTGTATATGTAATAGGCGTAATAAAATGGGCGGTCGGCTGACTACACTAGTGTGGACGATGTCGCGAGCTTGAAACAATCCTCGCGCGATTCTCATGCGGGTCGGTCGCGACGATCGCTCTCAGGGCGGTTTTTTCGTCGAACACAAAGGAGATCGCGCTAGGTTCGAAATGCATGTGTGGACGGCATATGCTGCACTCCTCTCACTTTTCGAGGGACGACAGGTCGCACCACGCGTATTGTTAATTTTGATTTAGCACTGATCGCAAACTCTTTTTTGTTCGAGTCTAATATTAGTTTGCAAACATAAAATTGAAAAAGTGAACTTTTTGTAAGTAAAATTTTAAAACATTGGTTTTATTTTATTGTATTAATTAAATTATTTATTTGTAGACCTTTGTAAATGAGTCAATCTAAAAAAGAAAAGTTGATTTGGAGTGCAGAAAGTTCAATGAAGCTTGGACGGTAAAATATCTTTTTACAAACATTAATAAGAAAGCAATTTGTTTAGTTTGTCAGGAAACAATTGCTGTTTTCAAAGAATACAATTTAAACAGTCACTTTACAACAAAACATCCAAAATATGCATCACTTTCTTTAAAAGAACTTCAAACTGTAGCAAAAAACTTGAATAAGCAACAAAATATTTTTACCAAACAAAGTAATATAAAGAAATCTACCACAAAAGTAAGTTATGTTGTCGCACACAAAATTGCTAAGTTCTGTAAGCCGTTTTCTGAAGCAGAATTTGTTAAACAATGCATGGTACAAGTGTCGGAGATATGTTGTCCTGAAAAGAAACATATTTTTGAAAATGTAAGCCTTTCGAGAAGAACAATAGTACGACGGATTGAAAATATTTCAGGAAACTTACTTGACTAGCTAAGAACAAAAATTGCTGATTTTTCCTATTGTTCTCTGGTTTTAGATGAGTCCTGCGATATTACTGATACATTCGCGGCATTAACAAGAAATGTGAAATTAGCGAGGAACTTCTTAGTGTGCATCCAATGAAAGATACAACTACTGGTGAAGACTTCTTTCTCGCTGTTGAAGAGTGTTTAGTTAAAGTAAGTTTAACTTGGAATAAAATAGTAAGCGTCACTACGGATGGTTGTCCTAGTTTAACAGGGAAAAATGTAGGCTTACTTAAACGAATTCCCGACAAAGTAAAAGAGTTACAACCAGAACACGATATATTATTTTTGCACCAAGAAGTGCTATGCAGAAAAGTTTTGAAATTGAATCACGTCGTTACTGTTGTGACCAAAGTTGTGAATTTTATCCGAGGACGTGCCGTAAATCATCGACAGTTTGTTGAATTTTTGAAAGTAATTGAAAGTGACTTCTACGAAATTCCTTATTACACTGAAGTGAGATGGCGTAGCATTGGTAAAGTTTTGGACAGATTTCAATATTTGCTTGATGAAATAGTATCCTTCTTGTCGATAAAAGAAAAACTACATGATTTTCCTGAATTGCAAAATAAGGCTTGGCTAAACGATTTCTCGTTTTCAGTATATATCGTAAAATATTTGAATGAACTAAATATAAATCTACAAGGGAAAAACCAATTCGCTTTCAATCTGTACTCAAACGTCAAAGCATTTATGACAAAACTCAATTTATTTGCTGAAAACTTTAATAATACATTATTAAATCATTTCCCCTCATTGCAAGCACGGCGAGAATCATTGAAAAATACAGATTTTTTTAAATATAGTGCAATAACACAAGACCTGCATTCTGAATTCCAAAGAAGATTTCAAGATTTCAAAGCTATTGAAAAACCTTTATCATTAATTAGCCAACCTTTCAATTTCGATGTGCAAGAAGCTCCTGTTGAAATTCAACTAGAACTAATTGACTTACAATCAAATAATTTACTAAAAGAAAATTTTCACTCAAACGAATTGAGTGCTTTCTATGGCGCTTTGAATAACGAACATTTCAAACATTTTTTGAACTATGTTCAAAAATACCTTGTTTTATTTGGTTCGACATATATTTGTGAAAGAACTTTTTCTTTAATGGTCTCCACGAAAAATAAATATCGATCACAAATTACTGCCGAAAATCTACGCTCGGTATTAAGGATTGCTACAAGTGATTTGGAACCCAATTTTGAAGAAATAATGTCAGATGAACATTCGAGATTTCACGTTTCGCATTAACTTTAAATATTTATTTTAACGTTTGATGTTTTTCTTTTCTTTTTTGAATTCTATTTACTATTATATTTACGAAATGCAATATAAATGTTAAATTGTAATAACTATGTGTCAATATAAAATAATTTGTATCGTTAAGACATAAATAAGTAACAAAATAAAATCTTTCATTGACTGGTTTATCTAATAGCTATTTATTTATAATAATATTTCTATAAAAATTACGTGACATATTTTATTCAAATTGAAATGATATTTAGTGTTTTTGTCAAAAAAAAAAAAAAATGGGCAGGGAAAAAACTCCATCCAAAACATCCGCTTGTGCAAAGCATACGCCGTATAGTCCTCCGGCCCGGGAGACATTTTGAAAATTTTATTTTGGCCCGCGCTTTAAAGTATTTGCCCACCCCTGCTATATACGCTAAAGTCATAATTTGCCGTATTCTTCTTTGTATATTTTATCAAAACAGATTTGCAGTCCTATATTTACAGATTTATGGGGAAATTTGTCTGAACAAACATTTGAAATGTAACTTTGTAGGTAGGTGTATATTGCCCAAAAAGCTATTTTAAATATCTTTTCAATATTGTAGTGGGTAATACCTTCCATTCTATTTATTTTACAAAAGTTTTGCGAGAAAATTTTGTGTTGGATAAGAAATCTCTGTTATTTTTTAAATATATGTAACTATATTTTGTTTCAAATGTGTTTTATTTGAGATCCCGAATTTTCTTCAATGAATGGCTATTTAAATTTTAAATTTGAACTAAATTTGAAAGAACGTAAAATGCTTTTAGGAAAATTTGTAGCGTTATTCCAAAAATCTTATATTTTAAGCAAATAACATAATGTCTTTTTTAAAATTAAAAAAATTATCTTAAACCAATTTTTGATGATCTTGCATAAAAGTATTTATGATGTTATGATAAAAGTGAAGGCCTTGCTTTAAGTTCATGTAACTTTAGCTGAAAAAATACGGTAATTTCCTCAAAATCATTGGATATTGTGACAAAACTATAAGATAATGCCTTAATATCATATAATTTTAGGCCAGAGAAATATTTGTCCAGAAGTTTTTTTGTACTAGATCGAAATGGTCATGCATTTCGCTCATTTCAAATGCATAGCGACCTTAACATAAAGTCAAATTTCTTCATAAATGGCCATGACTACAATAATGCTATTTGCTAATGTTGTTTTTATCTGCTTAAATCGCACAACACAGACAGATGCTAGCCCAACATTTGGTCAACACATTTGGGCCAATAAATCATAGCGGCCCATTGTAGTACCCGGGGATTCTCCAAAATTGTACGCAAGGATTCCAAATATGCACACCTAGTTTCATAAAAACCTGATACGGTTTGAAAATTCCGCTTTATATTTTGTTGTCATACTACATACTACAAAACAAACTTTTTGAGGATATTATTTGTTTTCTATTATTTATTTCTCATGACATTAAAGTAAAAGGTTCATTAGAAAATCCATAATATATTAGCTTATATATTAGAATTTTATGGTTGAATGTATCGGAAGCCTTCGAGAAATCTAACGGCCCAAGAACAGTACTCATTTTCAATATTCTTTAGTAGGTTTTTTGCTTTTGCTTATTTACTATATGTCATTGGATTAGAAAGTTTAGATAACGCTTTCCCTATTGATATTTTCCATTTATCCGGAAAATAGTTTGTTTCGATACAGTAATTAATTATATGCGTGCTTCTATTTCTATCGCATTGCCATTGCGTGAGTCACTTCATAACTACAGGAAAATGTATTATCTATTTTTATTACCACAAACTCTCCCAACTGTTTTAACAGAAAATTATTTTAAGCAATAAGAGACATATTAGGCCTACATAATAAAGATATTAGAATATTCAGTAATTTGTTCAATGTTATTGTCTACAGTTGGTATTTGTCGTAAGTTTTATCATTAAAAATGTCTAAACTAAACAGATTCATCTTCTTATTTTTAAAATAAACAACTTCAAAATAATTAGGTTTAGGTAAAGGATTATTGTCAACATTACAACAAAAAACACTTGGAACGAATTTAATATTTTGTGCAATCTCCATCCGCATTTATCACAGCTTGAATTCTTGGGCTCATGGCCATGAAAGGAAAGTTTTATTCAAACGACAATTGTTCCCATACTTTCTGATTACCTTTCCATAGCTCCTTTTAAATGTTTTAAAGTAGGCATTTTGGAGTCATTGTGTAACGATGTTTGCAGTGTCGACAAAACAGATGTCTGGTTGGAAAATATAATTATTTTCCGGATAAAGCTGTTTCACACTGGGCACCATAACGTTCAGCTTAAGTTTGACCAACAAATCTTCCCTCAGCCCATTCGTCCGAGGGTTAAAATGCTGGTTGGTTAGCTTTGGTTAGTTAGTAGACTGGAAGATTTTTTCATTAGAAAAATCCCAAAACTGGTGTTCTTGCGCTTAAGAGCGAAAATAAGCCGTGCTTGCTTCTGTTGAAGAGTGAGTGAGTTGCGTTTTTCGCGCTTTGGAAAGGGTCATCTTGCACTGAACTAACTGTTTGTCTGACAGATCTCCCTTTCCTTTTAAACGTTTCTTCTTGTCTCCACCTTTTCTTCCATCATGCAAACCAAACTTCTTCTAACTTGGTCACAATTTTTAAACCAACATACGGTGAAAATTTAAACGGCTGTTTAAAAAAAACAGACGTAGAAGGGAAGCAATCAATAAGAGAATTTTGGAAAAACTTTTTGTAATACCTTGAAAGGAGAACATTGGGTCGGATTGAATTAAGAGCGAAGACATTTGACACTCTGTCAATATGGATGAAATAGTGGAATTAGCCATACAAACCAGTTTAGAGGAGGAAGGCGTTTGTAAAAAGTGACCACTATAACTGAAATTATAGACCAATTTGTTGAAAATTATCCATATTTTGACAGAAGTTCAAAAGCAAGTTGTAGATGATATATTCACCTATCGACAACTTCTAATAGAACATAAAATGCTAACTACATCAGATACCTTCTTGAAGAAAACTCAGGAAATTGGAAACGCAGAATAGACTAAATGATCTGACTGAGTTAGAATTTTACTTGTTTTTATAAGTGTATTCATTTATATTGTTTTTATTTTTGTAAGAAATACGTGTTTGGTTTTATTTTATGAAAAAAAAAACAAATTCGCACAAGAAGCTCCAGATATCTCATTTTGGGCACTTTAATCAGGTATCTCAGTTATTTTTTAAGACAAATTTTTGTGAGATTAAAGATGCTGTCAACAAAATTATCATGGCCCTCTTGGTTTTAGAGATACATGATTAATCCATTAAAAACAATATTCAAGTAAACAATTATTACCATACAAGAAACATAATAATTTGAATTCAATTATTTAAATGTGTTTTATACTTTATGAACTACTATTTGTAATAATTTTCAACTTATTATAATCCATTATCAGTTGTCATCTAAAAATATTCTTAAAAGTCCAGAGTTAGTTAGTTAGTTAATTGGGGCACCATCTTGCTTAACGTATATATCATTATAACATACTAGTAATTCTGGAATGACTTCCCCAAGAATGTCTTGGTAGAAATTGGCTGTGATGTAAGACCTCCTTCATAAATAAAGTGGGCTATTCGTTGCCCAAAAATATAATACCACACCCCAACTCCAAAGCGTCCTTGTTAGGATCTTTCACAAATGAAATGGTGGTTTTCTGTCGGCTATAGCTATTAAAAAGTCGCGAACTTGAAAAGTAACATTCGTCGGACCATACGACAAGTCTCCCAAAAAATACCAGCGGCAAAACACTCTTAAACTTGTATGGATGGTATTTGTATTTTTTTTTTTAATTCTGCTTGTTCTATGTGTTTGCAAGATGATGACCGCGTTGCTTCTATGTAACCTAATTCATTTATTTCTCTGCGATCCCTATTCTCTTTCAAATAATTTTTAAGACGTAGTTGAATAAACGATTCGTGCCTAACTAGATTTATTTTTAAAAGATCAAATATATCTGGACTGTATTCTTTTAAAAACCCTACCTGTGGTAACATAATTCCGAAGCTTCGTTCGCATTTCCATGGCAGTGTGTAAAACATACCAACATATCATATTTTTCAGAATTTTTAAACATTGACATTGAAAATAAATGGATAGGTAATAAAAATATAATTAAAAACTGACAGTATCGTAGATTGTTGACACATTTGCGTTTTTGTTCCTGATAGATGAATCGTAGTAGTAGTACGTAACATTATAATAACATGATATTTATCCTATTATTAAGACAGTATTATTTAAAAAAATATGTATTTTGATCCTGTTTTTTCGAAATGAAGTAAAGAGTTTCTTGTATAGTAGTAACTGCTTATTTTTAGTTGATTTAGTTGATTTACTATGGACTGTTGCTACAAATAAAGTAGAAAATTTAAAAAATTGGATTTTGAGTTTAATTTTCAAAACCACTTCATACTAATATATACTTTTGAAAAGCTTAATTGATTTTCAGTTAATGTAAAAAATAATATACAGGGTGTTTTATTAAAAAAATAGTTTTGGATGATAATTTTGTTGACGGTGTCCTTAATTTCATTAAAAGTAGTATAGTGTCGCGCAAACCTGGACTCTCCATCTTAAAAAAAATAACTGAGATACCCCATAAAAGTGTCCAAAATGGGATACCTTGTACAGAGGTACCGTCTTATACCAGGGGTATGAAAACTTTATCATATTTCATCACCTATAAATCATTTGAAGCTCCTGTATACACTGCACGACGCGAATCTCTTTTATTCTGCATTGCGAGTTCCTATCGTCTCCAACTGCGCCGTCCACCATGTTGAACGCGCGCCCTACCACTTCCACTTGACATTTTAAGTGCAGAATTGTGTTAAGCACGTGACAATCGATGCCTGTAAAAGATAGAGAAACAAGACCCTGGCGTGGATATCGTCCGGCTAAGAAAAATTGGGACTAGTATTTACGACCCGACACGAAAATGGAGAGGCAGTTGAAGAAGATAAAATATTGATTTTGTTTAATTAAATCAATTAAATAATTTAGTTATACACTCTAAAAATAAGTTTAATCTTTTATCAGATAATTTCAACAATCTCAACAAAATAAATAAAGATTTTTAAAATGTAAATAAAAACATTTCCACCGATAAAGAACTTTGTTCCACCTTCTTGTTTTATACTGTTTCAGAGAGAGAACACCTGCTGTTCATCAAACCTTTAGCTACCGGAACTAATCAATTAAATATAGATATGATATTGCTGTGTATTATTCTGTACTAATAGAATCCTCCCTTTTATTACAAAAATAATAAATTCTTGGTAAGTAATAATAATAAATAATAATATTTATTATCAAAAATTCCTTTTACATAAAAAAATATTTTTACAGTAAAGGACCTGAAAATACTGCCCGTACATAGGTTGGCATAACTTTGCACTACTTGTGAGTTGAACCTCGCCGATGATATATTAATCTTTTTTATAATGTTACAAAATTGAAAAAAGTCTCAGATATCTTGAATTTAATTTTTACATTTTATTTATTCGATTGTAACACCAACATTGCTAACTTTTCTTAAGAACATTTTTCAATTCATTAAAATATTTTACAAAAATTGAACTGAGGAGGCTTTTACTTGATAAAAATCCATTTATCAAAATAAATAAGAACTAAAAGTTCAGGTTTTCACGAAATTATGTGTCTTTAACAAATGTATAATTTGCAAACTACCTGCTACTATGTATACCGAAAAGTGACCATAAAAACTTAATTAATGTTGTTGTGAGAATGTAAGTTCAATAAAGGAGAGGATTTTAAATCTAATTGATCCTTAATTTTTTGAATTTGAATCTCTCATTTTGTTAATCTCCATGGTTTCCAATAAATTTAATTTTCTACTTTTTGTGGCTGCATGTAAAATATCAAAATTGTCGTCAAAAATGTGTTTCTCTGTGTTTAAGTGCGTAGCATAATTAGAATCTAGACTATTGTTTTTAAACGCTCTTTTATGTTCGTTAATGCGTTTCTTGAAGAATATACCTGTTTGTCCAATATAAATTTTAGGACAAAAAGCATATTTCAACCTGTAGACACCTAATTTTTGGGATTTTGGACATTTTGTTTAATTGTTTTTTAAATATTTTCCTATTGTGTTGTTAGTTCTGAAAGCTATTTTTAAAGCACATTTTGACAAATGTTTTGAAACTTTTTCACTAGGTTCTCCTATGTTTTAAATTGTTCGTGTTCTGTATTAGTTAGTTTGTTAGTTAATTAGTTAGTTAATTATTAGTATAAAAAACAAATATAGACAACAGTAAGCTCTATTTATCCGAAACCAATACAAAGCATGAAAAATTATATATATATATATATATATATATATATATATATATATATATATATATATATATATATATATATATATATATATATATATATATATATATATATATATATATATATAACAATAAAACTTACCCTAATTTTAAAATCGATGTAGAAATAAAAACATTTAGATACAACACACGACGACACGATTTAAAATAGTAGAAATAAAACTGTAGATATAAAATTGTAAAACAGAAATATAAATGGTGTAAATATTGACAATAACAATTTGCATGCGCGTGTCTGCGAATCTATCGTGCGGACTGAGATCAATTGGCATGCGAAGCAGAACTACGAAAGTACGTTTTTTTCCCCGGCGATGTTATTCATTTATTTCATTTTTTATTTTAGATCTAATTTTATACCAGCTACCCTTACTTATTTAGTTTTTAGTTTATATTTTATATTTAAATCAGAATTGTATGGTAAATTTTACTAAGGCCTTTTGTGTCGGTTTTAAAGTCGGATTTTTGTGTTTTTTTTTAATTTCTATCGATTCGCAGAATTCTCTTTTTTTAGTATTAGGCTCTGTTTTCAGTATCCTTACATTTTGAAAATCGAATGAATGTTTAGTTATGAATAGCTGTTTTGTTGGTTTTGTCAAATTTGTGCCCATTTATTCTATTTTTGAGATACTGACTCGTTTGTCCAATGTACACACTATCGCAACCCGAACATGGAATTTCATAAACTACGTTACTTCTTTTTTCATCTCGTATTTTTGCTTTAATTTTAGAGAAAAATTGTTTTTGCATATTGTGACCTATTTTGACGTCATGTTCCTTTACAATACCTTGAATGGCTTCGGATAGGCCTGCAATGTATGGTAACGGTATATATTTTGTTTTATTGTTTTGAAATTTGAAAAATTTTGTCTACTAGATTTTCCGGGTATCAGTTTTGTTTAAGTGCGTGCCTGGCTCTTTCTAACGCATCCTTTCTAAATTCAGGATCGGACAGCATAATTGCCCTATCTGCCAGACCTATTACAACAGATTTTTTTTGGGCCATGGGGTGGTTCGATTCAAAATGTAGGTACCTAGTAGATTTTCTTTCTTTAGTATACCAACTCGTTTTTATACTATTTTTACTGCGGCGCTAGGTATTGTATACTGTATACTGTATTACTGTGGTCCCAAAAAACAAAATCAAATCATTATAAGATCCTTCAATAAATTTAACCATAAATTACAATTTAAAGTCGAAATGGAAGAACAAAACAAAATAAATTTCTTAGATTTGACGTTGCACCGCAGTAAACTAACTAAAAACTTGTGGAGGCGGACAGCGGTGCTTCGACCGTGGAAACGCAGATATTTGGCGTGCCTCAAGGTTCAATTTTGGGACCGCTTTTATGCGGACGACACGCAACTGTATATTCTTTTTAACACGAATGAAGTTGACTTAGCCGAAAAACGAGGATCTCACTTGATTGCTTGTTTCGCAAAAACAAAACCTATTAAATTAACTCAAATAACTCAATTCAGCCTTAATAAAGATATAAAAATTAACACTAGGAGTAACGATATTCCATATACATCATGTGAACTTGGGTTTACTTTTGAATTCAACTTTAAGCCTCACGTTAATAAATGTATTCCACGCGTCTATGCAAATCTGAAAAAAGTTTTTCCCCGTAGACATTTTCTATCGAAAACTCAAAAAATACTACTAACGGATTCTCTCGTGCTTGGTCGCTTCAATGTTGCTGACGTAGCCTACGTCCCATGCCTGGATAAGGTCGACTCGGATAGAATTCGGCGTGTCCAAAAATATTGTTTAAGATTGCTAGTTGGGAATTTAAAACTGAATATTTTGTTTTAGATAGATATTTTGTTTTTCAAAAAAATATTCTCGATATAACCTGTGCCAAACCAAAATATTATTTGTTCATAGACAGTCGGTGGCACGCTACTGGTTTCCTTAAAAAAAACATTTACATTCATTTACATCATTTATGAGCAGATTTGATCTCTTAATTTTTTCTTTAGTCATATTAAGGAAAGATGTTTTTATTTTTTTAAGAGAAAACCGTACATCGGATAGAAAAAACGAATAAATCAAATTTGATTAGAAATTATTGGAGATTGTAAGAATAATTTTAATTTTAATGACGACAAAGTGAAAAACTGCTTGAACTTTTTTGGTTACCAAGACAATTATTTTTTATTTCATTGGTTTGGTTAATTTGACATGTTGGTTTCTAAACTAAAAGCTCTTCTATTAATATCGTGGCACACAAGATCTTGAATTTTGCGGGCCTTGTGTATATGTAAAAATGAATTTTATGTATGTTATTTGACACGTTTTAAATGTTTAATTTAAATCGAAACTGATGATTCGAACAACTTATAATTTTCTAGATTTTGATTATCAAATCTGCTAGTAAAATAGTCTTCAAGGCACGTAGTGGAAATAAGCGATATCTTGCTATTTTCGCGTAAAATGGTAAAAAGTTCTTGACGAGTTAAATTGAAGAGAAGCTGATTTGTGATCTAAAACCAAAACTAACAAAGTCTTTATTTTGTTACAAAAAAAATAATCAGAGTTAAATATTTGGCATTCCCCAAAAAAAACATTACCTACTCATCAGAAATTGATTTTCGCACATATCTAGTTTCTACACTTGAATTCCAAGACTCTTCTCCAAATTCATTAATTTTAAATAAACACAAAAAATCAATTTGAACTGAATTAACCGCTATGTGATATTATTTTTTAAATGTGTAGCTTATTTAAATATTCTACAAAACATATAAAAAATATGTATCAAAACCTTTATAATGGGTATTTTTTTTCGATGTATAGAACTTTAAGTTGGCATTGCTGTTCAAAATGGCGACCGATTTAATAGCTGTCAAGTGATTTATTCTCAGTTTGGCTTGGCAATTCATCATGAATAGACTCACGCCTGAACAGCGCTTGCAAATAGTGCAATTTTATTTTGAAAATAATGGTTCTGTGCGGAATACGTATCGCGCACTACGTCCATTTTATCGTTGACAAAATCGTCCATCAGAGCAGTTAATTCGATTAACCATGGAATGTTTTCGCACCACGTTTACTCTTATGGATAACTCGCATCCCCTGAGATGCCATACGGTGCGTACAGAAGAAGCTATTGCTGCTGTAGAGCGTAGCATCGAGGAAGACCCAAATGAGTACATCCGCCATCGAGCACAGGAATTGGATCTGTGTCCATCCACTTTATGGAAGATTTTGCGGAAGGATCTTGGTTTACGTGCTTACAAAATCCAACTCGTACAAGAATTGAAGCCAAACAATCATCAAGTAAGGCGTAAATTCGTCGAATGGGCTCAAAACGAGATTGCCGTTGTTCCCAATTTTCATAAGCGAATTTTGTTTAGCGATGAAGCGCACCTCTGGTTGAATGGCTACGTCAACAAACAAAACTGCCGCATTTGGAGCGAAGCTAATCCTCAAGTGTATGTGGAAATACCGTTACATCCAGAAAAACTGACTGTCTGGTCTGCTTTATGGGCTAACTCTTTCATTCCTCAATTGAATAACCATGATGTCCAGGAGATGTGGTTTCAACAAGACGGCGCAATATGTCACACAGCTCGTGCCGCAATCGATTTATTGAAAGACAAGTTTGGTGACCGCCTAATTTCACGTTTTGGACCTGTGAATTGGCCTCCAAGATCTTGTGATTTAACACCGCTAGACTACTTTCTGTGGGGCTATGTAAAGTCATTGGTCTATGCGGATAAGCCACAAACGCTTGACCATTTGGAAGACAACATTCGCCGTGTTATTGCCGATATACGGCCACAAATGTTGGAAAAAGTCATCGAAAATTGGATGTCCAGATTGGACTACATCCGCGCCATCCGTGGCGGTCATATGCCAGAAATCATATTTAAAATGTAATGCCACAAGATTGTCTTTCGGATAAATAAAATTCATGTCAATCGAATAATCCATCGTTGTTTTATTGCAACTTAACACCCCTTATAATAGGTAAGACGAGTTTTAAAACGTGTAATGTCGGATTATTATTATGAACATTTTATGATAAAGCGAATAAGCATAAAACCGAAGAAATAAGCAATGTTATTTGTATTAGTTAAAAACTAATTTAGAAACTTTTAATATACTTCTTAAAGGTGGCCAATAGAGGCAAACCATTTTAAGATATATTATACAGAATATCGTAAACTTCAGTTTTAGGTGAATATCAGAAATACCTTTTTCACCCATTTGTTAAACATCCAGCAAAGTTGAACTTTGAAAACAAAGTTGTTTTGGTGCGTATGTGCAATAAGTTCAAAAAAGAGACGAATGTATATTTCTCTCTGTTTGACATATCACTAGCTTTTATTTATGACTTTAACAATTTGATAATTTGAAATATGGATTAATTGCCAATCAAAACAAGCATTACTCAAACGCCTAGAGTAAAAGATGAGCGACAAGTGTTAATAGGCCTACTATGACAATTTTTTAATGCGCATTAACCAAGTACTCTACTTTAATTCTAGAGCATAAAAAGGTATGGTCTGTCCATAGATATAAGAAAGTGACCAATTGCTTTTGAATGGGATTATCCGAGGGTGGTCATTAACATACAATGCAACAAGATTATTACCTAAAGTTTCGGAATTTAAATTCATGTTAAATTGCGGTCCGCAATAGAAAATAATTTTATACCTACCCGTGTTTAATATTCTTTGGTTTGGTACATTACTTACTTTAAGTATATTAATAATCATTCTTATTTCGTGTGTAATACATCGTGTGCGAATTATGCAAAATATGTGCGAGTCTAATGTATCTCAGGAGATGCTCCCGCCCAAATGTAGAAAACATGAGATTAAGGAAGTTATAAACAATGTTTATTTGACTCTCATTGAACGTGGTGCCACGAAGCAAGCATCTTTAGAAGAAACGGCCACATTGACGACCATTCCAGCATCAACTGTATGGAAAATTGTGAATAATCCCATTTCAGGGAAGAAAAAAAGAAGCGATGCTGACATTTTCTCGAGTGTAGATGAAAGTTATCAAGATATAATACGGCGTAAAATTTACCAGTTATACGAGGAACAAAGCGTGCCTACATTAGGTATCTTAATTAGGAGGTTTGAAAAAGATGAAACCGGTGTTAAATGTGGCAGAACTACCTTATGGAAGTGTACTCGACACATGGGTTTTAGATTAAAAAAAAAATGACAAAAGGCAAGTTTTAATGGAATCTTTTAGAATTCGGAAATGGCGACTGCAATATCTAGAAAAAATTTGGATTTACAGAGCACAACAAAGGCTAATTATTTACTTGGATGAAACCTGGTTCGACACTTATGATACCCCGGAAAAGGGTTGGATTAACTCAACTGATAAGTGTAAAACAAACGCGCCATCAAAAAGAAGTAAAAGGATAACTATTTTGCATGCTGGTTGGATTCCAAATGGACTTTCTCTGTCTGCGAAAAATATTAAAGATTCTTCTCTGGATTATCATAAAGACCCCACTGCTGATTTATTTGAAAGTTGGTTTAAAAGCAAACTAGTTTCGAACATTCCTCCTAATAGTGTAATTGTAATGGAGAATGCAAGATATCACAGTAGACAGTTAACTGAAACCCCTTCCTCGTGTGACACAAAAGCAACAATCCAAAACTACATGTATAATAACGACATTTATTTTCACGAAGATTATACCAACCTACAAACCTACAAAAGGAATATGTCTGTGATAATTATGCAAAAAATCTAGGGCATACAAATAATAATTAGAACAGACGATGATAGCTATAGTAATACTAATATATTATGTGAATAATTTTAAGTAATTTAAGTAGGTAATAAAAATAATTTGTAATTTTATTTTAGATTTAAACATTGTTTAGTATCTCTCCTAACAAAACCCCAAGTAATGAATTTCTAAGCAAAGTACGGACCTGTTCGGCCATATAATATAGCCATTTGCATTAACTCTATTACTAATTTTGATATTAATCAGTCCAACTCGACGTTTAGGAATAATTTCAAAAAGCAGTTGTTACGTACGCACTAATATTAAGCTCTTCTACAAAACATGTGTCCCTTTCCTTTCCTTTCCTTCCCCCTCCATTTCTTCTCTTTTCTTTTCTTTAGAATTATGTGTATCTACGCTTTCAAATAAATTCTATGAAATTGTTTATTATTATATTTTCGCTGTTAAATTGAGGCCTGACCATTATTTCACTTATTTAACTTTGGTTATGTAATTATTTCTATGTAACTTTGATGGTTAACTTTTAGACTTTTTTTATGAAATACAATATTATGTCTTATATTCATTTCTAAGAAAGGTTCTGAATCTTAGTATAGCGATCCATACGACCGAAAACATTTCGTTCTCACGTATGTTAGTACACAAGGTCATTCTAATAGACCGTGCTGTACAATTTCGGGTGGTAGAAGAATATAGTTCCGCTCTATACTCACAACAAAAGCTGGCCACCAACGAGTAGAACGCGTACGGTTGGTAGAGGAACCCTACCATGTAGTATCCGTCCGACAAGGACGTATCGAATGGGTACCATAAGGGGTACACATACTTTCTGTACACGGAAGTCTTGTTGAGAGCCGGATTGAACTTTTCATACGTCCGCTCATGGTAGTTGAAGTAATAAGAAAGGGTGATGTTGAGGAAAACGTAGAGGCCGTAGCAACCGGAGAGCAGGAGGGACCTAATTTTGGCGGCCGCCATTTTCTCGGTCTTGAAACGTCGCAAGTCGTCCCTGAAAAGTACTGATAGCTCGCGTCGTTCATGGTCGCGCGTGTTAATACCAGTTTTCGAGAAAGCTGGATCTCTTGACGACGTCCACTATCGCGTGGAACTTTTTCCTCACGATGAACCATCCCAGAACCCTGAAAGCGGCACCAGATTATCCAATTTTCCAAAGAAACTTCCGCATGCTTTTGTAATAATATTTACAAATCTTCTGGAATCCTCCTGCTCACGTTTCGCTAACTATTCTGTTAGTTTCTTCAGAGCTTAACTGACTCGGGCTGCCAATCTATTGTATACGTGCTTATTTATTGTTTGAGAGGCGAGACATGAAAATTGTCTCAGATGACTGATTCCCATATTGGTGTCGCGGATAATATTGTTTGTAGAAGAATTGAATAATAATAATAATAACTTTATTGTTTAACTATATTGATAAATATATAATAAATCACATACCTACAGAACCGAAGGTTTGCAATGGTCGTGAAAACAGACATCTGGACAACCAGACACTGGTGAAGCCTTAATTTAAAACCAAGAAAATTAACACAAGGCGCTGACATAATAAAAATTAAAAATTAAAACTGCATGAAAAAAAGGAAGAAAAAAAAAGAGAAGCGAAATACAAACGGGACCGTTAGGGTTGGAGGCCGGGGGTGTAATGTTTGACAGTGTAGTTACTGCTCAAATAATATTTGTTTCTTTATTCTATTCCAAAATGTGAAATGTGATTGCGAAAACCCGTGTATAGTGAACTTATAAAAGTTTAAATGATGTATATCATTTCTAAAACAAACTTTGTTGTAAAGGTAAGGCGGTGTTTTATACTTAATAATTTTGTATAAAAAGGTTTCGGCTTGGAGCCTAGATCTGTTAAACATACTAAGCTAACCAGATTTTTTTGGGTAAGGTGGTCTCTGCGACTCACTTTTTATACCAGTCTAAGACATGAATCTGCACTTTCTGAAGGCTATATTTTTCAACAGTATCGAGGCAGGGCATATATAGATTAATACAATGATTCAGTTATAATAGCACAAGGATTTTTTTTATATACTAATACAATGATTCAGTTGCGATAGCGCAAGGTTTTTTTTATATCGCGAGACAAACCATGACGTGGACTATAGATTAACGTTTAACAAGTTCTGAGCCTACTTGTCAAATGTTCCCGGAGGTTTAGTTTTGAGTGTAGAGTTAAGCCCAGACTTTTGCAGGAACTTACAAATGGTAAGGTTGGTTTATTAATTTTAATTTCAATATTCCGCCGTACATGATTATCTGCTGGTTGTTACAAACGAGCATAAGCGATGATTAATTCGGATTTAATTTTAATGGTTATACCAAAAAACGTGTTCCAGTAATAATTAATTATCTCCTCTGTCGTCTCCATCATTAAAAGAATGATAGAGATGGATGTCATCAGCATAAAGGTGACATTTAGAGTATTTTAAACATTTGTGAACAGCGAAGGACTCAAAATGCTTCCCTGTGGAACTCCGATTTGAACATTTAGTGTATCAGATTTCCGGCCATTATAAACCACTTGTACAGTTCTGTCGCACCAAAGGAACAAAATGAGCTGACGAGATTTATCACTCATTCCAATATAATATAAAATAGCGTACATAATTTCATGATTAATAATATCAAATGCTTTACTAAAATCTAACGTTAACAGACGTCACCTTGCTCCCGTCATCTAAATCCCGATTGTCTGAACGGCAAAACATTATTTCCATCTAGGGATACTCTCAACTGCTTTTCTAAAATTTTTTCTAAGACATGAGAGAGAGTGGGTAAAACACTGATACATCGCAGAGTACTCAGTCGATTTCTTTACTTTCGGCAATGGAGCAACATGTGCATTTTTACGTCTGGAAAATAAGAAGACAAAATATACTCACTAATAATGCTCCTACAGGACAACACCAAGGTAATAAATAAGGTTCTATTAATTTTATCCGCAGTTGAGGCCTTAGTTTTTATATTTTACATTATATCACAGATCTCCTCCACACTAGCTAGATTAAAGTTAAAAACTTCCCTGCTGACAACAGTATTGTTAAAAAAATTAAACGTTTGGTTTAGGTAAGTTTTGGTTAGTTACTTGTAATGTAGTTTAAGAAAAAGTTGTTAATTTTGTTAACGTGGCTCACGTTCTGGAAGGGTATTATTAGTTTTGTTCTTCAATTCATGCAAGAATCTTCGTTTGATCGAATAAGATTTGATGGCTGGTTTGATGAATGTGTTCGCTATCTGGCGGTGAGTTTATTTATCGTAGTCTTTAGAGCCTTTTATGTTTTTTGATTCTAGTTGGTATTTGTCGACCCGTCTCTCGAATGTATTCATTTCGGCATATGTAAAAAATATTGTAAACTCTGCTGCAGTATCTCAAACGGAATTTTGCCTTGACGGATCAAAGATGATTTTTGGACAAGTAGTAAATAAAATTCATTTTTACATTTTATTTATTAAAATGCAACACTTCTGTTTTCTTTAACTTTTTTTAAGCACTTTTGTCGACATTGAGATTTTTTATTTAATCAGTTAATTTATTAAAATATTTTACTGTATAATACACACTTTGTCCAATAGCCAACTGATGTCACGGTAAAGTAATACTATTATGAGTGTTCATTTGATTTTGTGTATATCCATTTTTTGATTTACTATATTGATACACTATAGAATTCACTACAAACTATTGTTTGATACTCAGTGCTCTATCTACTTAAATAATTTTAAGAATACGCATCTGAAGTAGATCCAACGGGTCAAACGATGAACTGTAGATACTTCCCCAGCCTATGACTGCATACACTATTGAAAAAGTCATAATAATCTTGTAGAAACTGCTTTCTTGTTAGTGTTTCCTTGAGTCTATAAAAAACATTTGTTTTTTAATTGTGTTGGCCATATTAACTTCCCATGTTATGTTACAGTCATAAGTTATTCCTAGGTATTTACTATTTTTTTACTACTTTTACTACTTTTTTACTCTCCAGACTCACACCATTAATCTAGATTTAAAAATCATGTAGAGCAGAGTCTCTACAGTTTCTAAAAGACACAAAAATATGATCTGTTGTAATGATTTTTAATTGTTCAATGGAATGAAAGAAATTAAATATGAAGCTACCAGTTTTCCATGTAAAGGGTTTTAATATAGAAGCAAGATATTTTTCTAAAGAATATATTGGAGACCCAATGGTGCTGACAATAGGTCCTATCTTACGTCATTCTATCACAAAATATACATCACCACTACCTCCAAAGACAATGAGTCCGAAAGCAACCCCGCACGTGCCACTCCTTACATTCAAAACATCACTCACCACATATAAAAAGTTCCTAGGAAATATAGCGTTAAAACCAGATTTACCACTTCGATCTTCGATCCTTTAAAGACAAAATTCCGTTTGAAATGCCAGAAGTTTATAGCATTCCATGCATATGCAGCAAAGAATAAATTGGACAGGCGTGGCAAAAAATATCAACTAGGCTCAAAGAACATAAAAGACCCTCAAGAATGCGAAAAATAAACTCAGCAGCAGTTACCGAACACAATCATCAAATCTTATTTGTTAAATTTATAATTCTTGCATGTAAGCAATTCTACCAAAGAAAAATCCGACAATGCATAAAAATCTATAAGCAACCAAACAGCTTCAATCGCGATTGAAATCTTTAACTTTCACCAATATGGAAATCAGTCATCCAAAAAATGATGGATGATTAGCGATATGTCAGCAAGTTTGATTAATAAACAACTGTCCCAGGAAGAATCCAAAAGATTTGTAAATAGTAGCGAATCATCTCTTCGGTGGCTAGCGACATTAAAGAATCTAATCTTCAACGATGAATATCAAATAAAATAACATACCTACGGAATTGAACTTTGACTTCTTTACTTCTTTTGGAGGTACAAATTACTGCTGAACAAGACTTAATAATTATTGAATACTAACCAACAACTAATCAATTCACATAACACCAAATAATAGACTAGTTCCGTCATTTCCTTCTGTTTCACTCTAGAATTAATTTTTAAGCCAGTCCGTTCGTATTGTTATGTCAAAGTAACAAACGGCAATCGAAGTGCTACGTTTGAAAGGTCGCAGGGTTCTCCAGCTCATTCGCCAAATTTTCGCATGTAATTTTTAATTATTACCTGTTGACCGACACGAGATGCAGGGACAGTATGCCGATGTTCAACATGGCGGAGCTGAAGTCGTCATAAGGGCTGAAATATAGGGCTAGCGTTTCCAAAACTACCGACATGCATACCAGGGAAAAATGAACGATGGCGGAAAACGTGTAAATGGCGTCGAATTTGGAACTGCCGGGCGGTTCCAAAAGCAACGCCTTCATGAAGCTACGATTGTAGTCGAAGTAGTCGCGAATACGTCGGTTTCCCTTAAGGATCGCCATCGTTCTACCAGCAGAAAATCGTAATTGATCTATTCGGCGTATTACCTAATAATGAGCAAAATTGGTATCGGGAAAGTCTTTGGGAGCGCCCAATTACGAAAATTGCTTGGTCGGTGGTATTAATGTTCAGAATAGTAAAATAACTTTAATGCGCCAATTTTAGCGGAGAAATTGGGCATGGCATGATGTAAAAATCTAATAGCCATCGTACAATAATTACATATAAATAAGAACTTCATAACCAGACACTACAAGACAATTCGGCAAAAACATTTTTTTAAATCAAGTATAAAGCATAAAACATCTTGTGTCAGAACAGTGATGAGAATTAATTAAGTTCTTTATCTGATCACGTCTGATTGATCTTTTGTCAGGTGAAAATAATTTATTTAAGTGTATATATCAACAACTTTGCTATTATACATTGTAATAAAAATAATTGAACAAAAATGTCTATCTCAAATATTCCCAAATTTTGCCGGAGCGTAAAAAAATATATCACCTAGTTTTAATTTTATTATATTCAGTTCAAATTGCTCAGAACTGCGCTAATCAAACAATATTTTTTTCTTCGCAGATAAGATGGGTATTACGAACTTTGGTTACAACAACACTCGACACAAGAAAAAAATTAATTGCGAATGTTGTTAATAAAGTTCGTAATGTGCTTGCAGACCATAAAACAAAAAAAGATCTCTTTATTTTCTTTAAATTTTTTACGCCGTTGAAAAACAACTGTTTAGACGTACTGACAATTGAAATAAAAATTACAATAGTACATACATCAGTAGTGTGATATGAATATTATCAACAAAAGAAGTGAATCGTGGGTAGCGGTTCAACCATTAAGAGGCATGCAACGATTATTCGTGTTGAAAATATCACAGACCATAAGAAAACTCGTAAAATAGTTTAAAAACGAGATAAACGATACTATTTTGTGACAAGTGACAAGCAAACCAAAAGTCGCGCTATAATTGAGGAAAATTTTGACAAAGATCAGCAAAATAAATTAAAAGTTGCCGTACAAGAAAAGGAACATCTGAAAATTAAGGAATTCCAAACCAATGACCCCATGTGGTAACTGGAATTCAAAAGAACCTTTCAAATGGTGACTTTCTTGAGGAACTAGAAAAATTGAACAACGAAATTATACAAGAACAAGAGACAAAATCCAAGTAATAGAGAAAAAGCAGTGTCGCAATACGACCAAGGAAAATTGGATTCTTCAAGCTCCACTATCTATCTCAAATTGGTTTGTGAAAAAAGGGAATGGAAAAAGAATACTATAATTTGGAACAATGTTTCAAATGCAGAACCTTTGGCCATGTAACTAAATACTGCTCTGAGAAACAATGCTTCCACAAATGTGGAAAAGAACACAATGCGATTGTACTGAAAATGTTAAATGATGAAAAGATAAATGACTTGAACCACTCTGCCAGAGACAAAACTTGCCCCGCAGATGAAAAAACATTAAAAGCATTTAGAAATAATATAAATTATTACGATTTTTTATAAAAGGAACCGAATATTAAGTACAAGTTTTCGGTTAAACGAGTGTGATAAAGTTGATAAAGGTAAGACCCTCTGCAGATGAATGTTCCATAATTCATCAAAACGTCCAATCGTTAATATAATTCGTGTAAATGGTTATGCGTAACAGGGAAACTCTGGAAGAATTAAAAAAGTAAGTGATAAATGACTTCGACCTGGTAACTGCTTTTTGTCGACAACATGGAAAACATGGTGGAAGCGTTATTTATGTGCGGTGTAAACCGAGAAGTGACCTACGTAAGTTATCAGTAAAAAAATTTTTTGAATACGCAGCAGTAGAGTGTACAAGAACGCTTATTAGTTTTGTGAATTTATAGACCTCCATCAGGAAGTATAGACGTTTTCCTTTATTGCTCAGAAAAGGTGCTCTTAGATATTTATAATTAAAATAAAAAAAAATGCTGTGTGACATGCGTTCAATCTTTCGTCTTGGACAGATCACACGTCTGTCCTTGTATATATATAATTTTTTATTATTATTTTATTTTTTGGTAATTTGCAAAGAGAGAAAGTTTTCTTATGTTTAGTCGGGTTTTTGGGACAAATAATTTTGTGCGTACTCAAATAAAAATTTAAGTTGCTGGAACATTTTTTACCGCGGTATTGCCGTTAAAGTTTTTTTTGGGTCAAGCCGATCGGGAGTGCATTAACATTCCGTGTGCGGCAGCAGCGAGATCTGTTGCGCGTTTTCCGCGAAGGGAACTTTAATTCTAAAGATTCCGTGGCGTAACACCAGTAAGTTCTGCGAATTGAGTAGCAAAACTTACAGCAAAGAGGAAGCAGGCCTGCTGAGGAGACGGAGGCGTGCGCTTAAGGTGAGACCTTAAAGTTCTTTAGCGGCCCGTTTGGCGATCGGTAGTATTTCTAAATTTTTAAAGCCTACAGTCCACTTTAAAGCTCTTCCGAGCTCGCCGCCCATTTTCTTTTCATATTGGTGGTTACTCCGCGAAAAGAAATTATTTGGTCCTTCGAGCCGGATTCGGCAGTTTTTAGCCTTAGCTACGCAACGCAAAACATTTCTTTCTTACAGAAATTAAAATAAATTCATTATTTCAATCCGCATTATTTTGATTTCGAATAAAGTACTCCGGTCGACTGAAACTCATAAATTGAACGAAATATACGATGTTGCTCTGAAAGTTAATGCCGAAGATGAAAGTTTTTATCCCATTCTTGAAGCTATGTATAAAGAACTTGAGGAAACTCGAACAAATTTTTATAAAATTCACAATAAAATTATATCAATCATATGTGATAAGGAAAATGCGGATGAACTATTCAAGATTGAGGATGATTTTCGGAAAAAATTCGATATTCAATATTATAGAATTCAAGCTATTTATACGCAACGTTTAATGAAGCCGACGACGCAATCTGTTGCTATACCGGGTGAATAATTGCCCATCTCTGCATATTTAAATTTACCCAAGCCTGAGTTACCGACATTTAGCGGAGAAGTTACCGAGTTTCGGAGTTTTCTCGATCAATTTGATGCGCGTATTCACACGGTCCCCCACTTAAAAGCGATTGACAAATTGAACCTATTAGTTTCTTGCTTGAAAGGTGTCGCTCGGGACGCTGTCGACCATTTGGATATCACAGCAGATAATTACACAATTGCTTACGATTTACTAAAAGAAAGGTTCAATAATGTGAGAGTTATTGCTTCAAATTTATGGAATAACCTGGAAAGCTCACCCAAACTTACCTCAGATAATTCAAAAGAGTTACGCTCTTTATTAGATACGTTTTCAAAAAATGTCGCAGCTTTGCAAAAACTAGGGTTACCCACGGAACACTGGGATTTTATACTTGTTCAAATGATGCTGAAAAGACTCACGGTTTCTCTAGTTACACGATTTGAACTTCATCACAACGACAGTACTATTCCAAGTTATGCTAAATTAAAGCAATTTTTAAGTAAAAATTGTCTGGCGTTGGACAATATTAATTTTCAAACTAAAACAAAGCAAATTTTTCTCAAAAAGCCAATTTTCTCCAAATCTACAGCAATGCTGGCTCAAACTGAAAATCCACCAAAATGTCCTGTTTGTAAAAATTCTCATTTTATTTATAAATGCAGCGAGTTTTTGGAAAAATCTCCCGCAGAGCGCTACAATCTGGTTAAAAGGGGAAAAATGTGCGTAAATTGTTTAGGCTCTCACCGTTTTAGTACCTGTACCTCTACGTGGAGTTGTCATATGTGCCACAAAAAACATCACACATTTCAGTCACCCCCCGCTAACAATGATTCGCTTAAGCTCTCTGACCACATAAATCCATCGACCGTAACGGCAGGTTTTTCTTCAGCCAATTCGAGCGTTTTACTTTCCACTGCTTTTGTCGAAATACTCGACGGTCGCGGAATCTACCAGCCGATACGATGCTTACTCGATTCAGGAAGTATGTCGTCATTCATACCTCAAAAAACAGTTAGCCGGTTAGGTTTACGACCGTCTCCTCTAGAGGTTCGTATAAACGGGTTAGGCGCCATGCATTCGCAAGCTGATTTAGGTGGAGTAACTATATCCTGTTTTAACCACTGACGCTTTAATTCTGAAAAAAATTTGCGAAGACCAGCCTGCTTTGGATATTAAACATAGTCACTGGTCCCACTTAACTAATTTACACTTGGCCGATGACCAATTTTCCCGCAGGGGACCTATAGACCTCCTTCTGGGTGCCGACGTCTTTTCTAAAATTCTGTTGGACGGACGCATCTCTGGATCTAAAGACCAGCCCGACGCAATTAATATATTCTTCGGCTATGTCCTTATGGGGAAAATAAATCATTTCAAAGCGCCTGCACTCGCTACGTTGTTTTGTCATCTTGAGGACACGGTTGGACAAATTCTGGGAATTAGAGACAGTTCCTGATGCACTTACCTTTTAAGGAAGAAGCCCCTATCTTCCCAAATATCCGATCTCTGGCTTTACAGAGGTTTTATTCCCTTGAGCGGAGACTTCAGAAGCAGCCTGAGATTTACTCGCAATATCGCGATTTCATGAACGAATTTATTGCGCTTAATCACATGGAATCTATTCCAGACGATTCGTTCATTTCCCCTCACTGTTATTATCTATCCCACCATTGTGTTTTAAGGCCGGCAAGTTTAACCAGTAAACTAAGGGTGGTTTTTAACGGTTCCGCACACCTTCCCAACCAGCCTTCCCTCAATGATAAACTATTCACCTGTCCAAAACTTCAGAGTGATATATCTACAATATTATTAAATTTTCGTTTATTCAGTTGTATTCTGACCGCCGACATTTCCAAAATGTATCGTCAAATTTTGGTTAATCCGCTTCATACGGACTACCAACGAGTTCTTTGGCGCAACACGCCTAACGAGCCTGTAAAGGACTTTCGAATAAACCGAGTCGCGTACGGTCTTTCTTGTTCACCTTACCTCACAATACGATGTCTGCACCAATTGGCGGTCGAGGAAGGGCATAAATATCCCCTAGCTGCCAAAGCCTTTAAAAGGAACACCTACGTTGACGATATTGTCGTCTCTTGTTGTTCGATCCAAACCACTTTAGCTTTGCGCGATGAACTCATCGCATTATTAAACACGGGCGGTTTCGAGTTGAAGAAATAGTCCAGTAACAGTCCTGCCGTATTGGAGGGAATTCTGACATCCGATCTGGCGATTAACCCCCTTGAATTTGTAAGCAAACTGTCTTCCCCGACTCTAAGGGTTTTAGGATTAGAATAGGATGCTCCATTCGATACCTTCCGATTTAAAGTGAAGGCTTTTGATTCCGGTTGCACAAAGCGACTCCTTTTGTCCAACTTAGCACGGATATTCGACCCCTTAGGCTTTCTATCTCCCGTCACTCTCCTCATTAAGCATATCATTCAAAAAATTTGGTCTCAAAAAATCGGTTGGGACGACAAACCCTCTAACGATGTGGTTCGTTGGTGGGAGAAGTACCTATCCGAAATTTCTGTCCTTGGAAATCTAAATATTGCGAGACGCCTTTTACCTAATGAGATGTCCAAATTGGAAATTCACTGCTTTGGCGACGCTAGCGAAATAGGTTACTGCGCTGTGTTATACTTTCGATGTTTAACGTCGTCAGCCTCACCCGTCCTTCATTTCGTAACGGCTAAATCTAAAGTCGCGCCTGTCAAGAAAATAGTATCAATTCCGCGTCTGGAATTATGTGCCGCCGTGTTAGCGGCTCGCTTGGTGTCATTTGTGGCCACGGCTATTAAGTCATCCGATATCGAAGTTACAGATATTTTCTGTTACTCTGATTCCACGGTTACTCTGGCTTGGTTGAGATCCTCTCCGCACCGTTGGAAGACTTTCGTCAGTAACAGGGTGTCTTTTGTTCAGGAAAGAGTTAATCCTTCCAGTTGGCATTATGTCTCATCTAGAGAGAACCCCGCTGACCTTGGATCCCGTGGTTGTTTACCGTCCGAGTTAGTGAACAGTTCTCTATGGTGGGCGGGGCCATCCTTTTTGCATTGCAATCCCATAGAACGTGACAGAGGCTCGCACCTTAAACCTCCATACCACCCAAGTTTCCACAAATTTTCTAGACACCATGCTCGAGAACTCTTCATCCTTAAACAAATGTGTTCGGTCGCTGAGTTATTTGGTACGTTACGTGCATTACTTGCGTAAATCGAATAAATTGGAAACTGGTTTTCTGACATCTTCCGAGACTTACATTCTCTGTTAATTTTCGTAAGATGCTCGCAAGACCTATTTTTTAGTCACGAACTCCGTCTTCTTAAGGATGGTAAACCTCTTGCTAAAAATTTCAGGAAACTATCTCCATTTCTTGACGATGCTGGAACTTTGAGAGTGGGTGGACGATTAAGCCAAGCAACCATTTCCTACGAACGTAAACTTCCTGCGTTACTTCCTAGCCAGTGCCGATTAACTGAGATGATTATCGAGTCGACTTGTCCGATCTCAAAACTCGAACTTTAAATTTGCCGCAACGGTGCGACTATATGCGCATGCGCGGTAGTTGTGCGTATCACGCCACCCGTGGCGAGAAAAACAGTATGTGTTTGCGTATGTATCCGTAAGGAGCATGAGTATGTATTCGTAAGGCATATGTACCAGTGTCATGTAACAACAATAAATGTTCAGTTCACTTTTGAAGTATTCAGTCAATCAATGGTCCTTCACCAGCGCAACCAGGTGGTTAATGGCAAGTGCGTAAATTAGTACGTGCACCATAAGACCCCACATTTTTGGTTCTTCGAGCCGTATGCAGCACATTTTCAATTTTGGAGAATTCAAAGCAACACAAGCTACCAGCAACAGCAAGCAATTCAGGATTTTGCCCCGACAGAGGCTTACAAAAACGAAGGAGAATTCCGTGAGTCCATTCCAATTTATTCCACGCATTTCCCAATCGAATTTTTCCATTGCATGCACAGATTCTATTTGGCAAAACATTGTCATTTAGTTTTTAAACGTTCATTTGTACAAGCGGTTCATAACGCGTTGAAACAGAAAACCTATTGGGTTTACGTTCCCGTTCAAACTGTTACGAGGGGTGACTGGCGGCGGCGGCGTAGTTCAAAGGCGCATAGACGCGGTCAGCATCAGACAAATTTTTTACGGTCTTATTATCGAGTAATTTCATTTTTTTTGTCGGTTTGATCAGTTGGATTCTTATTATTCATCATGGCCGATGAGGATAATATGAAACGGTTGAAGGCAAAGCGAAAGCAATTGAAAAGTAACTTAACGCGTTTCGATAATTTCATAAACGAGAGTGCAAACCAAGATAAATACATGGAGATTATGACTCGCATGGAAAACACGGAAACGGTGTTTAAAGCTTTCAATGAAGTTCAGTCGGAAATTGAAATATTCGATTCTTCGGACGCCCAAATACAAGTGAGAACGGAGTTCGAGGATAAATATTTTAATGTTATTTCACAAGCCAAACAAATTGTTGAAAATTTCAATCACCGACAACAGGAAAGATTGAATCAAGTTTCATTTGCACAGCCTTCGGCGACTGTTCGCACAAATCAACAAATAAACTATCAATTACCTCCGATAACGTTGCCAAATTTTGACGGCAGTTACGATAATTGGGAAACGTTTCGAGACACGTTCATTTCTTTGGTACACAGTAACAATAGCTTAGTAAACATTCAAAAATTTCACTACTTGCGACCTGTTTTGAAAAACGACGCGATTAAAGTGATCGACTCTTTAGAAATAACTGATTCTAATTACACGGTAGCTTGGAATTTACTTAACGATCGTTTCGAAAACAAAAAGGGCGCTATCAAAGGTCACATCAGACACATTTTCGAGCTCACAAACGTAACAAAAGATTCACATAGCTCTCTGCGTACATTTTTAGACAACGTACAAAAACATTACCGTGCTTTAAAAAATTTTGACGAGCCTGTAGATTCGTGGAGCACCATTTTAATCCATTTACTTTGCTCAAAATTAGACATTCACACCAAACGAGAATGGGAAGTCAAAACATTTGACAAAGTATCACCCACAATCAAAGACTTTTTAGATTTTTTGACCTCACGTTGCCAGATCTTAGAATCTGTGGACACAAAAACATTAGATCAAAACTCGGGGAAAAAACATTTTTTCAACAACAAAACGCACGCTCACATAGCTACTAACAAACCGATTTGTATTTATTGCAAAGAAGAACACTACATTTTTTATTGCAAGGATTTCTTAAAATTGTCTCCCTCTTCAAGGCTAAATGAAATTAAAAAGTTAAATGCTTGTAGTAATTGTCTACGACGGGGTCATAACAGTCGGGAGTGCAAGGGTAGTGCTTGCAAAACTTGCAATAAAAAACACAACACTCTATTACACTTTGGTAAGCAAACGTCAAATGTGTCAAGTGAAACACTATCAAAAAACGAAGCGAACCAAGTTGGAGCAATTAATTCAAACATTTCAAATAAAGTGTCCGCATCAAATGACAAAGAATCAGTTATCGTTTCACATTGCAAAAATTCGGAAAATTGTCAAAATAACGGCTTCACGTTGTTATCAACTGCCCAAGTTTATATTTACAACAAAGAGAACCAGCCGGTTATTTGTAAAGCGTTACTTGACAGCGGTTCGCAATCAAATTTTATAACTCGGCGGTTATTTAACGATTTAAAATTACATTCCTACAAAATAAACACGCCGGTGGTAGGGATTAATTCAGCAAAAATTAATATATCACAATCGGTGAGAACAAAAATTAAATCGACAGTTTCAGATTCTCAATTTCAATTAGAATTTTTAGTAATTGATAAAATTACGGACAAAATACCACAGTATTCTTTTGATTCATCTGTGCTTAATATTCCTTCAGGATATAAGCTCGCTGACTCAGACTTTGATCGAGCCTCAGAAATTGACATGTTGCTAGGAGCTAACATTTTTTACAACCTATTGCTTTCCGAGCAAGTGAAACTGGGTCGTAACCTTCCAATTTTACAGAATTCAAAACTTGGTTGGATTTTAGCGGGATCGTTTAATATTTACGAACAGCACAAATCATTTTGCAATTTTGTTTCAAATTCTGAGATGTCTCAAATCGATGAGCAATTACAGGCATTTTGGCGTATTGAGGAATGCATTACAAAACAAGTCACATTAACAAAGGAAGAATCTGAATGTGAGCAGCACTTTTCGGAAACATTTAAGCGTACCGAAGCAGGACAATTTGTAGTAAGTTTACCATTTAAAAACAATCTGAAACAATTAGGCGATTCCAGAGAAATTGCGCTACAAAGATTTCAAAGTTTGGAAAGAAAACTTGCGAAAAATTCAACATTAAGTGAGCAATATTCCAAATTTATGAAAGAATACATTGATTTAAATCACATGACAGAATTAAAACCAAATCAAAATCCATTAAATAACACTTACTATTTACCACATCATTGGGTAATTAAAGAAACATCCATTACCACAAAACTACGTGTTGTATTCGATGCATCCGCTAAAACTACGTCTGGTTATTCTCTCAATGATGTACTTAAAGTCGGTCCAGTAATTCAAGATTCTCTTTTATCTATTTTGCTTAGATTTCGAACTCACAATGTAGTTTTTACGGCCGATATAGCAAAAATGTACAGGTGTATATTAATGCAAGAAAATGATCGAAATTATCAACGTATTTTTTGGAGGTTTAATCCTTGTGAATCGTTAAAGGAATTTAATCTAAATACTTTAACTTACGGCACATCACCAGCTAGCTTTTTGGCTACACGTTGCCTCAAACAATTAGCAGTAGAAAATATTGCAGGCGTCCCAGACGCAGCTAACTCCATTTTGTCCGATTTCTATATGGATGATTGGCTCTCCGGCGCAAATGATTTAGAATCAGCCTTACAATTAATAAGGCAAGTTACTTCTATTTTAAAGAACGCAGGTTTCATATTAAGGCAGTGGAAATCAAGCGACATTCGTGTATTAGAACATTTAGAGAATAAATGCGACACAAATACTAAGTATATTATTAATGACCATGAAAATTCAAAAACTTTAGGAATATCCTGGAATTCTGGTTACGACGAATTTTGTATTACCATAAGTAAAAAAGGTATTTCGATATTTACCAAACGAACGATACTTTCAGTTGTCAAATATTTGATCCTTTGGGTTTAATAGGCCCAGTTATTACAAAGGTAAAGATTTTTCTTCAAAAACTTTGGAAATATCAGTTAAATTGGGACGACAATATTCCACCAATTTTAAATAGCGAGTGTATTGAATTTTACAAAGAATTTGACAGTCTTCGAGATTTAAAAATTCCACGAAATATTTTAATTCATAACCCCACAGAGATCGAGATACATTGCTTTTGTGATGCGTCACAACTCGCATA